TACGGAGTTATTTTGTGTTTCCGCTAGTACTCTTATTTCCTCCCATGCTCCCAATATACAAAAACATATCGGTAGGCTTATTGGTTTCTCTCTGAGTTGGCAGTACAATGTGTATGCTTAATGGTATTTGATACACCAAAGAAGGTTATTAATAGGGGGTCCCAGACTGAAGTGTATGGCTTAAAGTGGTATTAAACCCAAAATCAAACTTTTTTTTAAATTGCAGCTTACCAACTCTTAGATGTAGCAAACATACAGTGATTCACTGATGAGGTCATATTTATGATGTCTCCACTAATCAGCAAATGAGGGTCTTTTATACATATTCACCTGTACGTCCCTGCATGCAGCAGTTTGGGTGTGCTTTACATGTAGTCCAGTAATAGATCATGCTCTGCTTCAGTATGTCACAGTACATGTTGGCATTGATAGTTCCCTCAATGAACTGTAGCTCCCCAGTGCCAGCAGCACTCATGCAGCCCCAGACCATGACACTCCCACCACCATGCTTGACTGTAGGCAAGACACACTTGTCTTTGTACTCCTCACCTGATTGCCGCCACACAAGCTTGACACCATCTGAACCAAGTCAGTTTATCTTGGTCTCATCAGACCACAGGACATGGTTCCAGTAATCCATGTCCTTAGTCTGCTTGTCTTCAGCAAACTGTTTACGGGCTTTCTTGTGCATCATGTTTAGAAGAAGCTTCCTTCTGGGCCATGCAGACCAATTTGATGCAGTGTGCGGCATATGGTCTGAGAACTTACAGGCTGACCCCCCACCCCTTCAACCTCTGCAGCAATGCTGCCAGCACTCGTACGTCTATTTCCCAAAGACAACCTCTGGATATGATGCTGAGCACGTGCACTCAACTTCTTTGGTGGACCATGGTGAGGCCTGTTCTGAGTGGAACCTGTCCTGTTAAACTGCTGTATGATATTGGCCACCGTGCTGCAGATCAGTTTCAGGGTCTTGGCAATCTTCTTATAGCCTAGGCCATCTTTATGTAGAGCAACAATTCTTTTTTTCAGATCCTCAGAGAGTTCTTTGCCATGAGGTGCCATGTTGAACTTCTAGTGACCAGTATGAGAGAGTGAGAGCGATAACACTAAATTTAACACACCTGCTCCCCATTCACATCTGAGACCTTGTAACAGTAAGGAGTCGCATGACACCAGGGAGCTAATTGGCTGATTGGGCCCAGTTTGGACATTTCCACTTAGGGGTGGACTCACTTTTGTTGCCAGTGGTTTAGACATTAATGGCGGTGTGTTGAGTTATTTTGAGGGGACAGCAAATTTACACTGTTATACAAACTGTACACTGACTACTTTACATTGTAGCAAAGTGTCATTTCTTCAGTGTTGTGACATGAAAAGATAGAATAAAATATTTACAAAAATGTGAGGGGTGTACTCACTTCTGTGAAATATTGTAAATTATAATAATATAAAAGCTAATAAAAACACATGAGCAATGACATACTTAAAGAAGAATTCCAGGTATGAATATTTTACCCATAGTTACATTGGTCTAGCTTGTACCAAGTAACTATGCATATACCAATACGCCATACCTGGCCAATGCTCCTGGAAGCTGGATATCACTGAAGATATCGCTACTCCTGGGATCTCCACTTGTTTCTGGACCCCTTGCCGAGTGGCTGCCCTGCTGCTTGTGAACGTAAGGAGGTTGCCTGCTTGGCATGGGCACCATTCAGAGAATGCTTTCTCTTTTGTGAACGAATGCAAAGCATTCTCTGATTGAACGAGGAGGAGAGGTGGGGTGAGAACCTCACACTCTACACCTCGTTCAATCAAAGAACGGTGAATAGTGCTTGTTCTGAATGGCCAGCCTCCTGTGTTCAGAATGTAGCAGAAAACTGCTCAGCATTGGACCTGGAAGCAAGTAAAGTCCACAGGAGTAGCTGTGTCTACTTCAGTGATTTCCAGCTTCCAGGGGCATCAACCAGGTATAGTGTATACATGGTAACATTAGTTCAAGCTGGATCAGTGTAAATATGCATAAAATACCTGGAATTCGTCTTTAAACCTACATCTACATGACTAATGTCTATGGTGTGCTGTCCTGGTCCATTTATCATATACGTTTTTTAAGTAATTTGTGGCTACTATGCTTTTCATCATTTAATTTGTTTATTTTCTGCAGGCGTCACCGATGCCCACATATTCCTACAAAGATTTTTGAAAAATCTGGACAACCATGTGTACTGACTGAATATGTGGAGAAATACCCCCAGTATGGTAATATACAACCACCAAACAGCATGAAACCAAAGCAACAGTACCAAGGAAACCGTGGGAAAATGGAAGGAGTAACAACCTTTAAGTAATGTTTTGAATGCTTTATTTGGAATTTGAGGAATATTGCAGCTACCACCATTACAGCCCAACTCCAGGCACAACAAAAAAATACCCTTGCACTGTGGCCCCCTGCACTGCAAGTGTTAAAGGCTCATTATGTCTTAAGGGTGAATGAATAAGGAGAAATACCTATTTCGTTCTCCAGCAGTTTCCACCCAGCAGTGCGTCTGGGTTGCTGCAGCCTCCTCTCTAAGCCACTCATGGCCTTGGTCACTTGCTTTCCCCTTCAATTACAATGTAGGGTTAATAACCCTGTGATGCCAAGCGACTGACTGTAGCCTGGAGCTCCAGGGAGGAGAGCAATGAAGTGGGGGATGTGGTAGGCATAATGAGCATTTAACCCTTGCAGTGGTGGGGTGCTCACTGCAATGGTAGATATTATCTAATTCCCAGTTGGATTTTAATCATGTGAACATTACATTGGATGTACATTCTTTTAGACCAGGGGCCAGTTTACTGACCTTCAGACTTTACAGGAATAAATAATATCTCAGGCTTGGTGATCAGTTGGCATAACAAAATGACATCGCACTTGTGATCAGTAGGAGGAGGAATACTGCCCCATCATTGGTATTAGTGGAAGGAATAGCACACCATCATTGGAATTAATGGGAGGAATAGCGTCCCATTGTTGGTGTCAGGGAGGAATAGTGCTCTATTATTGGTATAAATAGGAGGAATAGCACCCTATCATTATTATTAATGGGAGGAATAGCGCCCCATCGCTGGTGTCAGGGGAGGAATAGTGCTCCATCATCACTATAAATGGAAGGAATAGGACCCTATCATTAGTATTAATGGAAGGAATAGCATCCCATCATTATTATTATTATATTATACAGTATTTATATAGCGCCAAAAAGTTTGCTCAGCGCTGTACATTATAGTGGAAGACAGTACATGAGACAATACAGTAACAATACAATACACGAGGGGTTCGAGGGCCCTGCTCCTTGGAGCTTACAATCTAGGAGGGAGGGTATAGTGGTAAAGGAGGAAATGGCTGTGGGGGATGGAGTGGTAGGAGGAGTGGAGGAGATCGGCAGTTAGGTGAGATCATTGGTATCATTGTGAGGAATAGTGCCCCATCATTGGTACTAATGGGAGGAAGAGTGCCCCATCATTGGTACTAATGGGAGAAAGAGCGCCCAAACATTGGTGTCAATGGGAGGAATAGTGCCCCATCATTGGTATTAATAGGAGGAATAGTGCCCCATTATTGGTATTAATAGGAGGAATAGCGTCCCATCATTGGTGTCATTGTGAAGGCAAGGAAAGGGCTGCATCTGGCCAATGGGCCACAGTTTGGAGAACACTGTTTTAGACAACAGACAAAAGAAGTAAAATAATGACTTTTGTTCAAATCATTATTGCTGTGCTGAGAAGATAGATTTGAAGAGGGACATTTAGATTTAAAACTGGCTTCTGAACACAATTAAAGAAAGCCCCATTGAGAAAAATAATGCATCCATTGCTGACCTGCTTTGGGAAATACTAATTGCCTGACTGTCATGTTAATACTTTGGCCTAATCTCTTTTTGCTTAAAAGACCTGGAACAAGCATGAAGATCAGGAAAGTCAGAGTGAAGCCAGGACTCCTGATCTACATATGCAAGAGCCATTGATTCAACATGACCGCTAACCAATTTGTATTTTCAGAAGTGGAGCTCAGCAATAGCACACTCAATACTTAAAGCTGAACTCCAGGCAGATACAAAAAGGTCCACCTCTGGATACATTAATGCATCTTTACGTGTATTCCTTTAAATGCAAGCAGTGTAACTACCTTAGTTTGACTTGCAATCCACTGTATAATAGAGCTCAGATTGGGGAAGGAAGAAGCAGCAGAAGGAGCCAATCAGTAGTGCTGCACTGCAAGGAGCATGCTGATAGCAGGGGAGAGCAGAGTGACTGACGGATCAGCTCATCAGTGTTCTGCTTCTCCTTTTACTGTCCAGTCACAGGTTAGAGGAGGGACAAGGCCTATACATGTTACGTAACTGCAGAAAAACTAGGGGCTGTGCTATGTGTCAGAGGTGTGTACATCTCAGGAGTGGATGAACAGAAATACAAATCCTTTGGCGGGTAAATAGACTTCCATAAATTATATTAATTTCATCTATTTGAGTTAGCTGTTTGCCTGGAGTTCAGCTTCACTCTAGCTATATACAACAGACTGCAGCAGAATGTGTACGTGATAAGGCCTGTGTGTTGTTTACACAGTAATGTAGTATATCATTACTGGCTCCAAACATCTAATGTGAACAGTACGATTTGTTTTAACCAAAATGTTCCAGGGAACCCTGTAGATGTAAGAAGGTCCCCGTAGATATTCAATATGTTACCTATTCTGCTTAAAATCCACAGAAATCAGGGATAAGGTAATGAAGGAGTGTTAATTCTCTTGTGTCTAAATACATTCCATGAGTTTCATGACAACAAAACATGCATTTTACCATATGTACAGTATTAAAAGATAGTAATACAGCAATACGTATAGCAGTATACTAGTAATATAGAAATAATTTAGATGTCATTTAAAATAGACATTATAGTCATTCTGAATCACTTGGTTTCTGAAGTACATTTTGTATTAAACACTTGTATGTTTCAGATCAGATTATATCCCATATGATGTAACAAACCGCCCTGTACGACCTCATCAAGAATATCAACCAAAGCCTGGACATATTGATCTTGGGACAACCTATAACCGAGATTTTAATACTCATAAAATAGAACCAGTGGCACCTGCACGTCCAGTAGAAAACAGACAAATTAACATGGGGAAGTTTGACACAAACCCTACATACAAAGGTAAGTTAATCAGCCTGTGGTCAGTTACAGTTTCAGACTATCCTTAAAGCCGGCCATACATGGATCAAAATTCACCCGAATCAGCAGGGACCAGATGAATTTTGATCCATGTATGGGTAAGCTGGTTGTACAGAATGCCAACTGACTTCTGTGCAACTGCCATGTTGGATTTTCATCTGATTGCAGGGAAGTCTCCCCACTCTCAGAATACAATATGTCAACAGGGAGGATTTCTCCATCCACCTTGAGTGTGTGGATGGTGGAATCAAGTCATCTGGTTGAATGGTTGAATGAAAATAAGACTCATCTATGGGCTTCTTAAGATACTATTTGCATTATCTGTTTTGATCCAGTAAAAGTCTTGTATTTCAGGTACAAAACCAATTTTTTACTATGGGGCTGGTTTACATCTATGCACTGTGGTTTTATGTGGCTGAAAAGGAACTTAGAAACACCAATCCATTTACTTGCTTGGGAGACACTATAAGGCTGTATGTGGTGTTATAGATTAGTACAATGTTCACAAAAATTGTTTGACACTGTATTATGTCATCACATATTTTAGATGCATAAATAATTTGTTTACTTTTACATTTAGCTTGGCTTAAATACAGCAGTACCACCCAAATCTAATTCATTTGAACTTTTTTTAGGTAGTTTTGGCTGCAACCTTATTGATATGGAGATGTTTTTTCTAGCCCTGATGAAGAGGACACTCTTCAACCCCCAAAACACATTGGATACTTTCTGGGTTGTCCCCCTGGCTTTTATTGGAATAAAGCTGTATCTGGACCTCTTAGCACTGGTGTGGAGCTTTAATGTCCATTTTGCTTAGCAAGCAGTAACAGGCTTGAATTGATCCATGGAAGTAACAGCCACAACAGATTTAAAAAACTATCAGAAGGTTCCTCTTTAAAAAAATGAATCTAAAGCCCTCAACTTCATAGAATTGACCAGTGGCACAACAGTTTAAAGCGTAAGATCACCTTTACAGAAAATATGTAAGGTGACCTTGCACTGGACCCCCTCCCCATCCCTCCCGCTGTGCCAGTGTCCAGCTATCCCCCCGCTGTCAGGCACTGGGATGCCGCTTCATCAGTCAGAGGATCTGAAATCCACCTGATTTTCTCTCCTCTGCTTGCAGCGCTGACAGGATGGACTAGACAGATTCTGATTGGTCAGCATCGTCCTTGCGACAGAGCTGACCAATTAGAATGCCTCTTGTCTGTACACACTGAGAGCTACGAATAGGAGATTAAGCCATGGGGATTTCAAATCCTTGAACCAGTGAAGCAGTGTTCTGGTGCCTGACAGCGGGGGCAAGCGGGACATTGGTACAGCGGGACTCAGGGGGAGGGAGTCTAGTGTAACATCACCTTACAGATTTTCTGTAAAGGTGAACTTACACATTAATGATATAGTTTGTGAGTTTCTTTTTTTGCAGTACAACACTGCTTTGCCTTAAAATGTAATAAAATGACAAAAAAAAGTACACAAAAAGACTTCAAAACCACATTCCCTGAACCCCCTCCTATCTCTGCATCCCCAATTATTTTCAGAATATTCAAAATATAGACTTGGGTCACTAGTTTAGTAGCAATTGGCCAGCATCAGGATAGGATGCATGCACTCGAATAGGTAGCAAATAGAGACCTTCAAAATTTTGCAGCTGAGATCAAGCTGCAGAAACATTGCATGTCATCTTTACAGTGCCAGAGCATCGGGGTGGGCTGCAAACTCTGAGGTGAAATTCAGGATTTATCCTGCAGCAAACATTCGAAATTTTCAGCCAAGATCAAACTCTGGAAAATTTGGGGTTAATTTACTAAAAGCAAAAAGGGTGTTTACTTTGCAAGGGAATATTCACTTTAATTTTCAGTTGACTTCCATCATCCATTCATTTGCCACTGTGGTGTAGCGCAAACCATAAGACTTGCAGAAGGGGGCTGACTCCATGAGCTGGAAGAAGAGCACCTGCAAAGCCAGTAACATTCCTTAGCTGTAATTAAGATGCTGAATATGGAGATGGTTTCTGAACATTTTTTCTTCGGCTTCAGTAGCTGCAGAAGAGACATTTACTTTAGGAAGGATACTATTGGAAACAGCAGTTTATCTGTAGGAGAATTCTGAAAAGGTTCAAGCTTTTACTTCTCAGCATAGCCCAATGACCCTTTTTTTGCTTTGATGTGGCATATTCTAAGCCTCATCCACCTCTTGTGATGTTTCCCTCCTGTGACAGATCCAACCAGGACAGGGGCTTTTGGAGGGGAATAGGGGCTAGCCTTCTACCCACTGATTATGGCCCGTGGAGAGAGCAGATCATTCTCTAATGATGGACAATAATGTAATAAATGCTGAGAGTGAGGCTTGGATTAATTCTCTGCATAAAGACATTAAATCTTCCCTTCTGGAGTGGGTGGAAAGGTGTAATATTAATCTTGTACAGGTTAATGGTCAGAGGAAATATGATGGCCCTCATGGGGACTAGGTTGGAGAAGCTCCTCTATTTGGGACAGAAATATTTATCAACAATCTCCTTCAAGTAATCTATGAAGATAAATTAACTCCACTTTTTCAGACTGGTGGAATATTGTATGAGTTTTGTCTCATGATGGACAGATTGCTCCGGAGGGAGGGCCAGGCACCCGAAAGGCAGCCTGTGTAATGTACTTTGTATATTCCTATGTAGGCACTCTCTAGGTGGGTTCCCTGATTAATCAGCTCAAAACAACCTGATGCTAAGGATTCTTCCTGTAATCTGTTTATTAAGGTGTGATGTATTTACCATTGTGTATTTGTCCCATTGTTAATTGAGTTAATTGAGTCACCTATTGTGTTTTTAGGCTAGTTCCTGGAGGTGCCTGGAATTAGTTTTGTGTCAAGGTCACCTCATTATCTAATTAGTGTGGGATGTTTATCTCAATGTGTAATATTTGTTGTATTGTTCATGTGGGGACTACCCCTATTTCGGAGTATATAAAAACCTGTATTTCTGTTCAATAAAGAGTTCCAGTTTTTGTACCTAAGCTAGTGTTGCCTAGTCCTTGGGTGCAATGCCCAGCTATAATACATAATACCTTGGTGCTGTGTCCCAGTGGCAAGGAAGCAGTTCTCTGATGGGATCACCTAATCAGGGTGATAGGCGGTACGTCACACCTCCCTGTTGCCAGAGGCCACAGATTTTCTGAAAGATGCAGTAGAAGAATCTTGTGGAGGGAGATTCAGAACGTGAGAAATGAGTAGGATGAGTGCATGCCTTAATGGTTGGGGTACTAAAGCAGCTGACACTTTTAATACAGTTCCTATGCTGCAGGCAGAGGCTACAAACCACAATGGTGCTGTCAACACCAGATATGTTAAAAGAGGTCCACACTACAGAGCTCTGTAGACCATCCCTGGTTGATAGAAGTGGCCTGTACCTGTGGGGCAATGCTGCTAGATGGCTAAAGATGACTGCTCCCTCCTGTCCTCTGCAAGCTGCCCCTGGACAAAACCCCCCTTTGCTGCTGTTCTGCCTCTTACTCAGAACTTTCCATCTCTCCAAATGGTATCATCCACCTCATTATCCACCTCCTCCTTATTGCTAGGGGTAACCTTTCAATAAACTCTAGCTGCTAGAACATAACTGCCTCTTGCTGCTACCTTCCTGCTATCTTCGTCCCTTGACTGCTGTGTGGCTGAACCCTTCTCTCCATCTATGGTCATGGCGCTATCTTGCAAACCCTCCATATCTGAAAGGAACAAAGCTTATGCTTATGCAAGATCACCCTCTTGCAGCACATCAATGATTGTGTGATCAAATAGTTCCACCAACTCCACATAGCCAATTGGCAGGGCTATGGTGGGATTAGCAGAAAAAGAGGAAGAGGGCACATCACTTCCAAAGAACTGGCTGCTCCTTGTCTGGAAGGATGAAAAAGGCTTTGTCAACCACACCACTACATCCTGTAAGTGCCCTAGCGATATAGCAGGCTACTCTGAGACAAAAAAATCAGATGTGCCTTGCTTCTGGATGGTGCTGCGTGACCACCGTTTTGTCCTGTAGAACCTGCTAGCCGCCTACTACCTTCAAGTGCAGAACCTCTGCCTGTCTCTTTAGGCCTGTACTTTTTTTTTAATAAAGAGTGTAACATTCTGCACTGTTACTGTTTGGAAGATGTTGATTAACCACAAGATGGTCATGTTCCGCAGTTTAGCTCTTACAGTTTAGAGTACAGCAAGGCATTGTGGAACTTGTATGCTGAAGGCAGGACTGTTGTGTACGGACAGACTGAAAGCAGACTATATTTCCCAGAGGAACTAGTAAAGGGGTGCAGCCTTTATAACCAAAAGCCTGGGAACTTCCAAGAGGGAGGAGAGAGACTGTGTGAGAAGGAGGTTGAACTGCATGGACGTTTGTCTTTTTTCAGCCAGACTAACTATGCAACTATGTAAGACCTTTGTACAGGGGAGGGGCCTATTAGGAAATCCTTCTCTTCCTCTTATAGAATCTTGCTGGCAGAAACATCCCAGCAGGATTCTCTGTGCTTACGCAAGTGGGAAAGAGACCTGAACACTACATTCTTGGAAGACCAAAAGACCCGTATTCTTTTTTTTTGTCCTCACTCTATACCAAACCAAGTATCAGGAAACCATTTTTAAAATTTTGACGCGCTACTAACAGACTCCAGCCATGTTAGCAGGCCTGTTCCCTAGACACAGCCTTTTGGAGATTGGGATATGTTTCATTATTCTGATGAATTTTTATCTTTTTGCTAACTTGAGCCCACTGTGGTCCCCAATTCCGTCCCCTTCCCTTTTTTTTTCTTTAGTCTTCCCTCCTCCCTCTTCGGACACCCTGTGGTGTTTTTCTTTTTACCCTACAATTTACAAAAATGCCACCTGGTATACACTGATTAAAAAGTGTTCCTTTAATTTTTTTTCAGCAGTGTATAAAGGGAGACAATCTTTCTAAACCTCCTAGCAGTCATACCCTGTTAACAGAGTATAGCATCAAGTCAATTAAACTCCTGGGATATTGATCTGGTCAGTTAAGTAGCAGAGGGGGTTGTTAATCAGATTCAGCTACTTTGGTGTTAATGAAATTAACAACAGGTGAACTAGATGGGCAACAATGAGATGACCCCCAAAACAGGAATGGTTTTACAGGTAGAGGCCACTAATATTTTTTTTCCATAGTCATCTTTTCTGACTGTTTTTCCCTAGTTTTGCATTTGGCTAGGGTCAGTGTCACTACTGGTAGCATGAGGCGACAGAGGTTGCACAGACAGTCCAACTCCTTCAGGGTCGCATATTAATATGTGCCATTGCCAGAAGGTTTGCTGTGTCTCCCAACACAGTCTCAAGAACATGGAGGAGATTCCAGAAGACAGGCAGTTACTCTAGGAGAGCTGGACAGGGCAGTAGAAGGTCCTTAACCCATCAATAGGACCAATATCTGCTCTTTTGTGCATGGAGAAGCAGGATGAGCACTGCCAAAGCCCTACAAAATGAGTTCCAGCAGGCCACTGGTGTGAATGTTTCTGACCAAACAATCAGAAACAGACTTCATGAGCGTGGTCTGAGGGCCCGATGTCCTCTAGTAGGCCCTATGCTCACTGCCCAGCACCATAGAGCTCAATTGGCATTTGCCATTGAACACAAGAATTGGCAGGTCCGCCACTGGAGCCCTGTGCTTTTCACAGGTGAGAGCAGGTTCACCATGAGCACGTGACAGATGTTAAAGGGTCTCGAGAAGCCATGGAGAATGTTATGCTTCCTTTAACATCATTCAGCATGACCCTTTTGGTGGTGGGTCAGTGATGGTCTGGGGAGGCATATTCATGGAGGGATGCACAGACCTCTACAAGCTAGACAATGGCACCCTGACTGCCATTAGGTATTGGTATGAAATCCTTGGACCCATTTTCAGACCCTACGCTGGTGTAGTGGGTCCTGGGTTCCTCCTGGTTCACGACAATGCCCGGCCTCATGTGGCAAGAGTATGCAGGCAGTGCCTGGAGGATGAAGGAATTAATACCATTGAATGGCTCCCACACTCACCTGACCTAAATCCAATAGAACACCTCTGGTATATCATGTTTCGGTCCACCCGACGCCGCCAGATTGCACCTCAGACTGTCCAGGAGCTCAGTGATGCCCTGGTCCAGATTGGGAGGAAATACCCCAGGACACCATCCGTTGTCTCATTAGGGGCATGCCCTGACGTTGTCAGGAATGCATACAAGCACGTGGGGGCCATACAAACTACTGAGGACCATTTTGAGATGCTGCAATGAAATTTCAGCAAGATGGACTAGCCTGCTGCATCATTTATTCACTTTGATTTTCGGGGTGTCTTTGAATTCAGTCCTCTGTAGGTTGATCATTTTCATCAAACGATGGGGCATCCTTACGTTCCTAACACATTACCCAGTCCATATCAGTATAGATATCCAACGTGATATTTTTCCTCATTGAGATCTGATGTGTTTTCAAAGGGTTCCTTTATTTTTTTTGAGCAGCGTATATGACAACTGACCGTCCTTCCACCTCATGTCGTTCAATAACTGTAGTTTATTTGACCTTATTGGTGTGTGTATGATACCCATGGTCTCTTCTGTATCATTATCTCTCTCACAGGTCATTTTATTGCATGTGATGGCCTCTTACGCTTTAATCGCTTAGTATTCACTTGACAACCGCGCATTGTAGCTTTACTGCTACAGTGCAGGCTGGTTGTGGAAAATCACGTATATATACATGGTTTTGCTTTTCCAGGTAGGGGGCGCGCGCATATAACACACTGAATACTTGTTACTGTAGTGAATCTCGTTTTCTTCTAATGTTCTATGTTTGCACCTATATTGCCCCTGGCAGCAGATACATTTGTTCCTGATCATGAAGTCATGTCATGTCATGCTACTATGTTTTGCTGCATAAATAAAGAATTGATAAAAAAAAGAATGAACCAAACAACAAAAATAAAATATACCCCCCCCCCCCCCCCTAAAAAAAAAAAATATCTGAAGAACTTGACTCCAACACAGGTTTTTTTAACCTTTTGGGGGGAAAAAAATTGATTAACATAAATGTATAAAGCAGAGGCGTAACTAGACCCTTCAAGGCCCTGGTGCAAGATACCATGAAGGGCCCCCCTGACCCACTGGTCCCAGGGCCCTTTCCTCTGGTCCCGGGTCCCTTCCCTCTGAGCCTGGGGCCCTTCCCACTGGGTCCAGAGCCCTTTACGCCCGTTGGCCCTTTATTACAGTTCCACAGTGGGATTCTTTCACACGTTCTGCAGCGACCCCTCATCCTGCCATCAAAAGAAGTAAAATGTGGTCCCAATGAAGGATTGCAGCCACAGAAAGTGTTTACTTAACTAGAACTAACTGGTTTTGACACTGGTATAGTTATTAAAAATTATGAATTTATTAAATCTCCCCCATCACAGAATCTTTTCATTACATCATAGCCCCACCATCACAGAGATGACTCATTCACACAGTTCCCCACATCACAGAGCCCCCCCAACGGTACAGTGCTACATCAAAGAGCCCACCAATTACACAGTTCCCCATCACAGGCATTCCCACTCACACAGTCCTCTCTTCACAGCAGAGCCCTACCTTTTGGCTCCATCAGCACATCAGAGGATGGGAGGTGGAGCAGGTCTGGACGAGGCAGACTTCCATCCTCTACTGAATGCTGGAGGTAGCCCTGCCTGTCGCCTAACTTGGAGCAGTGCCATTCGTTGCCATGGTGTAGGCAAGCCAGTTTCATTGGCTGTTGTGGTGCTGGTAACTGTACAATCTAGGTCCAAACGACATCCCAGTAGAGAAACACTGTTATATAAGCATATATGCACAGGGAGAACAGGTAGTTGATGGGCTTCAGAAATATAAGTAAAATGAATATTGTCCAAAGTCACCTAAAGAATGCTAAATCTATTTATTTGCCAACAAATTGTATTATTTCCTTACATTTCACTTGAACACAACTGCATTCAACAACTAATATGTTATAATTCATTGAGCAAAACATACAGCTGTGCAGTGTTTCTTTACCTTGGTTCATAAAGTGACTATCTTTAATAACACGTGTTATGTTTCTACTTTTTTTAAGATGACTACAGAGCCTGGGATATCAGTAAAAGAGAACTTGCTAAACAGGAACATACTTACCAACCTCCTACTGTTAAATTTGGAAATTCAACTACATTCCAAGATGATTTTTTTCCAAAGGATATAATGCCAAGAGAAAGTTTCAAGCCTCCTGGAGTATCAAAACGCAGCGACATCCCTTTTGATGGCACTACAAGCCATCGCACTTCTTTCATTCCTCATGAAATTGAGCCAAAGCATCAAAGACCGAAGCAAGAATATAAGCCCAGTAGTCAACCGTTTGATGATCTCACTACTCATCGTATCAATTTCAAGGGCACACTTGGAGAGATAACAAAAAGCTGCAAACCTGATTTTGGTAAAGTCGGTAGCAATGCTCGATTTCAAGGCAACACTGAATTCCGTGATAGTTATCAGCCTTGGTCAGTAGCTCCAACTCAAGTTCAGAAATCTTATGAATATATTCCACCTACTACGCACATGGAGCTAGACACTACGACCCATCTGGATTATGTGCCACACCGCCTCAGTTATGTTTCCCCAATTCGTCCAGTCTCCCATGGAAGAAGGAGCAAGGTGCCCTTTCAGGGAAGTTCTACAATGAAAGAAGATTTTCAGGCTTGGCAAAGTAAGCGTCAAGAAATGATCAAGCGGGATCATGAAATTCCAAAGGCTGTGGGGAAATTTGATGACCTGACAACATTCAAATCGCATTACCTACCCCATGAGATACATCCTACTCAGAGTTTCAAGCCTTCAAATGCAGCACTGAACAGTTCTGCTCCATTCGAAAGTGGAACAATGTATCGCTCTGATTATACTCCCAAGAAAAGTGAAATCTGCCCTGCAAACTACCAGTCCCCTCCTGGTTATGTCTTTGAAAGCGTTGATGGCCGAGGCCACAAGATATTTAGAAAAATGATTACTCCTGAAATGAATTCATTTTCACACATCAATGAAGACAACCTTGCTAAAGCTATTGCTGTCATTTCTTAATTCAGAACAAATCTAAGCTTATTACATACTAAAAATATTCTTACTTGATATAAGTGTGATTTCTTCAAAAATCCTTTCAACCTAACGGTGAAATTAACAATAATAAATTATTTTCTTATTGCATGTTTGAAGTAAGGAAGTTGGGTAGGAACAAAACATGAATCCCTAAAATAGACTGAACAGATTTTAGTTAGAGGTCACCAAAAGAATACAAAAGTGTAATTTATAGGTAAGCGTAGAGGGGACTACAGGTACTGAAAGGGTTACTTCACCTTTTCAGAAAAAATGAAAGAACTAGGACCATACATCCTCTCCATCCCCCAGCTTCAGAGAAAATTAAAAGAACTCGCACCATACATCCCCCCTATTCCCTTTCTCTCTCCGTACTTCAAGCTGTGGGTGATGACCTGTCAATGCCTATGCAGCCGATGCAATGGTCCAGGGATTTGAATTCACCTCTGTATTCCCTCTTCTTTCTGCAGTGCTTCCGGGACTGATCAGACCGATTCTAATGGGTCAACCCGACACAAAACATCACACTTATCTGTCCCCGAAGTGCTGCAGAAATAAGAAGGAGAAGAGGAGGGATTTCAAATTCCTGAACCTCTGCATTAGTTGTGTGGCCACTAACAGCTCATCAGCCATGGAGGGAGGTAAGTACAGCAGGGGGTGGAGAGGGTGTATGGCATTATTTCACCTTTTCATTTTTTTATGAAGACGTGAACTCACACTTTAATATTCTCATTTGAAAAAAAACAAGCTTACAGGCCAAGTCTCAAGCATATAAAGGACCTGTGACGCCACTCTTTGTGCTTGTGTCAGTCCCATTAGTTTGAGACATTTCTCACATCATTTAGAACTAACTGATAGGTGCATATGATCTGCAATTGAACGCTATCTGATCTGCATTTATCTGCTTCAAGCCAGTTTTGCATTTGCATAGATTTGTATGGAAATGCTAAATTTTTCTACATCTCTGCTATGAGCAAATCAAAACTAGGGCACCACCTTGCTTTGTGGGTGAAAAATAGAGCACAGAACCAACTTCTATTTCATAAACTTTATTCTTTTGCTGATCTCCACAAAATAAAAAAAAAAAAAAATCAAAATAAGTATTTAATTAAAATAATTTTTTAACTCTTTAGGAAAACATAAATACACTATATAATATTGGAGTAACCACTTTCTGAGATACATATTTTTAGATAATCTTTTTAAAATCACATATGCAAGTATTATATGATTATAAATATATGATGTATTATTCTCATACTTAAGTATTTTTTCTTAAACACAGATGCTATTTACAGCTTAAAAGAGCAGTATTGTTTAGTCATACATAACTAAAGATAACCTGTGTCCTTTACCTTTTATAACTGAGCCAAATCCCCCTTTATTTATGTCTCACGCATTCCTCCCTCGCAGACACTACAGTTCACTGAGGTAGAGGGTGTCAGCTACGGAGGCAGTGTTGTCATTCCAGAAAGCAGTGGGTAGGACTGGGTGTGGCCATGTGTTGATTGACAGGCTATAAGCATGTGAATCAGCAGTAGGATTGCTGAAAGCCACACCCCCTGCAACATTGTATCATCCTGCTGTAGTGCAAGCAGGCACAGCCTACATGAGAGTGGCAACTCTGCTCTGAATTCTGGAGCAGCGCAGCATCGTTGCCACCCCATCACAGGAAGCTGTATTAGGTGGACTTTACTAGCAGCCACAACAGGTATTTATAGGACTTTGCAGGGGAGTCTAGGAGAAAACAGTAAGCGCAGATGTACTTAGAATAAAATGCTGAAACATATTTATGTAATGGAAGGCCATGGTTCTACTTTAAGTGTAAGCCTGGGTGACAAGCATTAAAACATTTTTTCTATTGCAGTGCAAAGGTAAAATAGCACTTTTAGAAAAGGGTTGTCTTTAAAAAGTAACTCCATTTTTGTTGAGGAAATAACTAACCCATCTGGGTGCTAAAAATACATTACAAGGGTTTTAAAGTGGTAGTATACCGCAGGTAAAAAAAAATGTAAAATGTCCCTGCAAGGTAATGTCATAAGGGAAGCACGTTTTGATATTCCAAAGAATATTGCCCATATTTTTTTTGCTTTTTTGGAGGTAATATTGAAGAAGAGAAAAGGACGGATTGGAGCACAGTTCTTTTGGATTAGTACAAGATTGGAAGTTTTTTGCAAGTTTTGATAGGGTAAGGGTGTTTAATACAGCCATTTAGACGTGGAAACTAAGTGGGGTGACACGTTAGTAGCACTGGGTGATTATATTATATTTTTGCATATTTATGTGGGGTAATGCTCTATATTGAGTTTTCTGTTTTTGAGGTTTACACGGATTTAAAGAAATGTATTCATGAAGCAGGGGTGGAGTGACCATTTGGAAACTCGGGCACTGCCCGAGGGCTCGGGGTCAGTAGGGGGCCCCATGAGATGCCCCTAGTACCTTTTTCATAGGCTTTTTTGAGTTTGGGCAAGGACACAGGGGCCCCATGATCCCCTATTGCCGGGGGCCCCATGAGTTGTCAGTCCGCCCCTGCCATGAAGGTGGAATAAGTTTTGGGAGCACGTATACTTGTATACTTATTAATGTGAGGATTATCACAGACACCAAGAGACTGTTACTTTGAATGTCATAATATGCTAGTATGCATCACATACTTATACATTATGAAGGACTTGCCTAAAAACGAAGCCCTCCAATGGCGCACTGTCTCCGATGCAGAGGCTTCCATCTTCACCCAGTCTTCCTTCCAGATTTGTGAGCTCTGGCCGCCTGATTGGCCAGGACATAATGACACCACTCCGCATGCGTGTGGGAGTCCCACGCTGAGGCACAGCACGAGTATGCCATTCCTTCAGAGCGCATGCGCCTGCTATAAAAAAGAGTGAATATCTCCTAAACATTGCACATCTAGGAGATATTGATTTTACCTACAAATAAGCTTTATTATACCTGTAGGTAAAAGGAAAAAAAAAGACTTTACTACCACTTTAACAAGCTTTGTTGCAGGTTATTACCTGCTTTTGCTCTAAAGAACTAGCCCTTTGATAAATCATGTCTTGTGCAGGACTGATTCTGAATGAGATTGACTAATTCATTACAAGCAGCTGGTTTACATTTAGGGTTCTGATGAGAAAATTTTCAGTCTCTGTATCCTTTTAGTAGTGATTAACTCTTAGAGAGTACCTCACCAAAAAAAATAAATTTTAGTTGCAGAGGATGCCTAAAACCTGACCTGCTTATACTCTTAGTGCAGACTTCTTCACATAGGCAGAGAAATGACATTTCTCTGGGGTGTCCTTTATACCAACTGTATACATAATGCCTCCAGGTTGCCATATTGTATTGAATTTTACAGAAAAGGGTATAGCATGTAACAAAAGGCAATTTTTAATAGCAATAACTTTCAATATGGCTTCTATAGCATTTGTATATGCTACATTATTATTTTGCTATTTTTTCCACAAAAATGGAATTACCCTTTATTAACTTAACTTGATTTAATGGCAACAGATGGAAAAACAAGTAATTCAGCTTTTGTGTTTGGGTTTAATTATACAAATTACTTTTTTTTCATGTTGTAGATTATAATCAAGTAAAATGAAAATGATATCTTTCTACTGGTTTCTACTGTCTTATTTTGATCTTATTTTCTATAAATCTGTAAAATTAATTTGTTAGGAGTCATAGAAACCTTGAAACCAAAACTTTTGTTACTCTCATTATAAAATTACATGAATATTGAATTTCTCAAGAATATTAGCAAAGCACAAATCATATTATGTGTGCAGATTTATTGTGTCCAACAATGAAATCTTTGTGTACTAAACTTGAACACTCCATCACCGTAGTGCATTAAAATGAACTTCCACTAATAAACTGTCAGTTTCTTCGTCAGTATTTGCTTGGTGTTTAAACGTTTAATTCAAAGTCTACACTTCCAGTTTCGGAGACGCTAAATTGGAATTAACTGTGACTGAATGGAGAAGGGGGTTCCAGACGCTGACATGTTTTTATTAGAGTTGGTTATGGAGCTGTTAGCCAGTGTCAGGATCATGTAGTAGGAAATTGAGGATATTGAACTAAAGACAACGAAGTCAATGTAAAGCCTCTAATCTAGGCCAAACATAACATAACTGTCAGTGCCTTCTCCTTAACACTGGACGGAAAAGTACATGACCTCCAGAATAACACAACAGAGAAACTGTATTTTATTAACAGGGTGTTAAACAAAAGGAAAAGAAATCAGTTTGCAGTTTAAGTTGTCTGTCTAAAAAAAAAACTGCTCCCTCACAGTCAGTTGACAGGAGAGAAGAAATGTTTGTCCAGCAATACAAAGCAAACACTTATGAAAAAAATCCTTCTTAGATTAGGTAGTTGTGCAATACAAATGGCAAACATATTCATATTCAGTAAGACCATGTACAATGAGAATACACAAACCTGTAGTAATCTATAATAATTTCAAGCCCAACTCTAGGGAATTTATAAATGGTACCCCAGGGTCAGATCTAGCCTGCCTGATGTGAGGGTGCAGAACAAAAATTAAGGGGGACAGAGGATGTGAAGTCAGCAGGGCCATGTAGAGGATTCAGTAGGGCATTGTACAGGGGGTAAGCAGGGAAATGTAGAGTCCCTTAGTTTGTAGGACAGTGTGCAGGGGGTTATCAGGGCAGTGTAAAGGTGGTAGCAGAGCATTGTATAGGGGGTCAAAAGGACAGAGTATGGGTGATCAGCAGGGTAGTGTACCAGAAGTAGTCCTCATGCTCCCTGGACAGTTTTACAGCTGTCATTTTTGGCTTTTGACGTTTTATTCTGCAGCCAGTAAACTCCTCAGCATATTATCCTATGTGTCCATACAGAGATAGACTGTAATCAACATATTTTGGCAGGGGCTTTTTTTAGCTGGAAAAAAACCCCAGAACTAGTGGGTTTCTTGAAACGCTAATGCAAAAACTCAAGTTTTTAACGTGACTTTACACAGCTAACGT